ATGTAAGCTAATTAAAAAGTTTATTTCTATAATTATTTAGCATTTTTACCCTGTGTAATACAAATGTAATCGTATGTATTGTACAGTTAGGCCTCCCTAAATGCAACTTGTAAAAACCAAACTTTCAATAACATGCAGTTCAAAACCATATTTGGGCCAAAGGTTGAGATTGCTAGAGAGATATCTATATAAAAAAACATATAAAAGAAAGGTTTTATAAAATTAATAAAAATTAATTTTTAAAAATTCTATACATAACCAATTTTTAAAAATTCTATACACAACCCAATTTACTAATTTTTAAAAATAAAAATTCTATATTATGAATACAACCAGGGGTAGATAAAGTGGATGACAAGTGAATTTTGTTATATGAATTTACTTGGTATTGCCTGTTGACAGTTCAAGTTACATTGTCTTTTTTCCTATCAGGAATTGCCTATGTAGATTAGTTTGCAGGGTTTAGCATAAGTAGGATTAAAAGTGGTGAGACTCCAAGCATAATGATAGCATAGTATGTTAATACAATTTTTTTATTTTATTTCAGAATGTTAATTCACAGCTTTATTTTAAAAATAAGTACAAAACCTAGTTAAAAGAAATTATGAAATAAACAAATCTTTTACTTACAATACAGTAACTAATGACAGAGATAAAGATCTAATGCTAGGTGAATGAGTATACTTTGTATATTTTCTTCTTATGTGCAAATGGTGTCAGGGTTCTTTATTTTTATTTTTTACTTATACTTTGACTTTTGATTCTTTCTTAAATTCACTTTTGAATTTTTTTTAACTTTGTTATTTTTGTTTTTTATTTAACTTTTAACTTCATTTTTTACTTTTTGTGTATTTTGTTTTTTTTGTTTTCTATATATATATATTTTTACCTTTTATTTTATTTATTTTGTTTTTTTTGTTTCTATATATACAGTATATATTTTTTTATATATTTCTTTTTTTATTTCACCTTTTTATATGTTTCTTTTTTTTTCCGAATTATATTTAATGATGTTGAATGAACTTTAGCAGTTATTAGAATATATAATATTCAAGGCATTACTATTTCTAATATTAGGTTTACCAAGGCTATTAGGATGGCTAGTGAGCTTGATTCAATTCTTGCTATGCCAAATACACTTTTGGTAAACTTAGTTTCTATGTTTCAAAAATGATTGACAAAATAGATACAGAGATTCTCTTAGAAGTAATAGATAAAACAAGATAAGATTGATTTTAATATATAAAAAAAGTCTTGTAGGATTGCAATTGTTACAAAACATGAGAGTAAATAATAAAATATATATAAATCTTGTATTAAAAGGTATTATAAAAGTATTAAATTGAACAAAATAAGTGACAAAATATTTCCAACATACCAATCTAGTGTAATAATTGTAAGAGAGAGCTTTGTATTACTATACCAAGTTTAACTCTGATAGCTAATATTAGAAGGATCATATGAATTAACAATAAATTATAGTATTTGAATATTCATAATTTATTAGACATTTATGTTAAAAAAGAATATAAATATATATAACCTTTATTTATTGTGAAATTTGAGAGAGCAAATGTTATCTCTAACTAAAGATGAAGACACACTCTTGTGTATATTCTAATTTTATAAATTGTCAATATGGAAATCTCATCACTTACATTATAGATTCCACATTTACTCAAGACACTATAATTACAAATTAATGCAACTATATATGTATACATTTTACTTTGAATATAAATGCTCTATTTTGAGCATAAATGCTCTTGTATAAATTAAAATACCAAGAATATATAATAATATCTAATACTACTAAAGTAAGATTAATATAACTATAATAGTACAATTATAGAAAATAAGTGACAACTTAAAGAATTAGATAAATATAGAAGTGATGAAATACAGAGAAAATTAATCATTATATTCTTCTTCTTTTGAAGAGTGAGCTTCTGCAAGCCCAAACAAAATCTCAACAAAAGAAAAGAGCTATACAAAAAAAATGCTTAACCAAATAAAATTTTAATACTATTTTAATTTATAAAAAATTTCAAATATGAGTTCTCATGCTGCAATCATAACAAAAAAAAAGAGCTATACAAAAAAAATGCTTAATAAAATTCCAATACTATTCTAATTTATAGCTAAATTTCAAATATAAGTTCTCATACTGCAATTACTGTCTATTTATTGGTATCTATGCATTGCCAGTTTATGAATATCCTCACAATCTCAACTATAAAACAGATTAAAACTCAAAGCAATTTTATTTTTCAAGACAAGTTTTTTTGAGCTTACTTGTTCAGTTAATCTTTTGATAGAGTCATCACACTGTAGTTGGATATTGTATACTTCTAGAACTCAAAGCTTTTTACTTTATATTTGTTATTGTTCAAAGTGAATAGCAAAGTTATAACCAGGGTTTATATTTTTCTGAATGAGTAAATCGAAAGAAGGTATAAGGTAATATCTATTCCACACAAGCAGCACCAAATATAATTATCATAAAAGAGAGCTTTGTATTGCTATGCTGAGTTTAACTCTGATAGTTAATATTAGAAGAATCGCATGAATTGGACATTTGTAAATCTCTTATTTTAGAATTAATTCTTTTATATATTGTAGAGCTGAAACTGATACAATTGAGCAATTATAAATATTAGGACTAAATCAAATAATTAACCTACTATATAATCAATTTTTGCATATTATATAAACTTATGTATCTTTGATATTCTTAACTAGAATATAAATAATTATCAGAATAGTAAGTTCTGTAGCAGAATTTTTTACAGCAATTTATGATAGAAGTCACAATAATTTCAATATATAATGAAATTATAATAATTCTAATCAATACAAACTATCTCACAACATCTTTATAATTATCATAAAGTTTTGTAATAGATATTTTGTAGCAACATCATGATTAAAATTACACCAATTCAGCACAAATTAATTTAACTACAGAGCAGGAAAGCAAAAAACATCCAATATCTATTAATAAAACTTTAAAGTGTTATAATTTTTTTAAAACAAGCTAAAACAAAAAACCTCTAACAAATTAATAGTTTTTTAAAAAACTACATTTCTGTCAGAGGAGTTTTTTTATTCTTTTTTTTTAAAAAAGTTATAAGAGATTAAAGTTTATACGAGTTTAAAAATAGGCATTTAATATAAAAAAAAGAAAACATATATAGGTTTTTAACCAATAAAAATCAATTATTCAAAATTAGCCAATCAGAATTGATTATATAAATACCAAAAATTGGCACCTATATGTATAGATTGGATATTTCTTGCTGTCCTACACTGTACAACATTTTATCACAAATAGTAAGTAAGACTTACTATAGCTTATAGTAAAAATTACAATAATTTTAATACAAAAATTAATTTAACCTTAACTATATACTAAGTCTTATTGAAATAATAAATTTTTTAATAAAATTTCTTAATACATTCTTGGCAATATATACATCATAGATCTAGAATTTTCAACCTCATCTAACAAAATAAACTTGATAATGATATTTATAGTATTATACTGTATATTATATCTAAAAGTTCTTGAGAAAAATTATACACACAAGTATCAGATTTATACAGTTTTGGCATCATATTATTTTTTTAACAATTGATATTTCTTGAGATCAAAATATCTTAAAACTGATACTCAACAAATTCATCAATGCTAGTTTAGTAAACTGCTGATCCAGTATAGTATTTATTTAAACCCAAACACCTTTTATAAATAAAACTGCCAAGAATTAATACTATTTTATGATAAAGCACTTGTTAGAAAAATAAAATATTAAAAATCTTATTAATTACAGCACCTAGAAAATGTATACCAGGTTGGATTCAGATAATAGTCTAGAAAATATCTTCAAATTTTATACTTTTTTTTTGGCTAAGACTTTATTTTTCAATTATAGCAATAATATAAAGCAAAATTTAATACAATTTTCAATATCAAATCTATAGAATAATACAAATAAACTTAAATTTCAACATTATAATAATTTATTTCTTTTTAACTATTTATTTTGTTTTTTATAATGATCTTTGATAATTTATATACTCTTTTTGTAATTGATTATTATTTATGCTATTCATTTCAAATTTATTGATTTTTTTTTTAAATATTTATTGATTGTATAAAATAGATAAGATGCTAACTTGTCTATCAATAGAGATATAGGTTTTCATATCTTTGTTGAAATATTCAATATTGGCAAGAAGTTGGCCATTATTATTAATATTACTATAGTCAAACCTCTCTATAGTCACCCTCTATATAAGCACATCATATAGAAATTCTCTTTATAAGTATATTTATTTTAAAACCAACTTTTATAAACATATAGAAAAAAAACTTTTTTATAAGCACATTTTAGTAAAATTCTCTTTACAATCACACAAATCTTTATACCAAGGGGTGTAATTATAGAGAGGTTAGACAGTAATAAAAATAAATTCTAAATTGGTATTAATTAAAATTTAAAATACCAATTTAATTTTAATATTACTTTTAGATGATTGAATATTGCTTATTTTCATATTTGCTTCAACTTGTGACTTATAAGTGAAATTTTGGCAAAGTGATGTGCCAAGTTCTAATTTAATAGTTTCTTGTATATAATTAACAAAATAAAGCTTACAATATAAATATACTTATAACAAATTTTGCATTGCTTTTATTTTTGTAAGAAAAAAAAAATAACTGAAAAATATTATATTTAATAAACTATTAATAATAAATAATTTTATTTTATTTGAACATTTGTGCTATTAGAAAATTACATATTTTTTATTTTTTATACATTTAAAATAAAATATTAAATTCATAAATTTTTAAAATTGATATTAATATTGAATACAAGATTTATTTTTTGGTTGTTTTAGTAGTCTTGGTTATCCTGGATGTTTTGGTAGTCCTGGTTATTCTGGTTATTCTGGTAATTCTGGTTATTTTGATAGTTTTGGTTATTCTGGTGGTTCTAGTTATCTTGGTGGCTCTGACTATCATAGCAGTCTTAGTTATCTCAGTTTTCCTAGTTCTGGTTTTTCTAGTTGCAGTTTTTTTAGTTGCAGTTTTTTTGGTTGTCTTGTTAGTCTTTGTTATCCTAGTTTTTTTAGTTGCTTTAGTTGGTTTTCTTAGTTGTCATAGAGTTTTAGTTATTCTAGTTTTTCTGGTTGTTATAGCAGTTCTATTTATTTTAATTTTTCTAGTTTTAATTTTTTGATCCAGTTTTTCTAGTTGTCATATCAGTTCTAGATATTACAGTTTTCCTAGTTGTCTTGGCAGTTCCAGTATCCTGGTTTTCTTGTTGTCTTGGCAGTTCTAGTTATTTCAGTTTTGCTAGTTTTGCTATTATTTTTGGTTCTATTAACTACAATTATTAGTATAATGTAATATAACTAATACTAAGATTTTAAAAAAAATAATTATTAAAACTTACATCTATTAATTCAACAATTTTTTCATTTCTGATATTTAAGGACTCAGTGATTTTAGTTGCTGCAGTTTTTGCTGCCTTTAATAGATTTGAATTGTTCACTTGAATGGATAGCTGTTTGTTTAATAATTTAATAACTTCTAGAATTTTATTATCAGAAAATTGTATGCTTTAATTAATATATATTAAGTTTTCCAATTTGAGCAATAGAATATTTTTAAATAATCTATAATTAATAGGTCTATTCTTTGAACATTTATTTTAGAAAATTATAAGGTTTATGCTTAACATGAAGAGAATTTTAAGCAGTTTATATTAAAAAATATAATGGAGGAATTTTTTTTTAAAAAAAAATTGATTTTAGTTTAGAAGATTATAGAAAAAATTTTTTTAATTTCTAAGAATTTTTGATAAAAGTTTGTATTGTTTTATATGAAATTTTTTTGAATAGATACAGAATTATTGTTGATACAGAATTAATACTTAATTAATATATTGAATAGATACAGAATTATTGTTGATACGGAATTAATACTTAAATTAATATATTGAATAGATACGGAATTATTGTTGATACGGAATTAATACTTAATTAATATATTGAATAGATATTTAACAATAATGAGATAACATCACGTTGGTACAATGATAATTTTTTGATCAGAGAATGTCGCGAAGCGGCATTTTCTGAAAGAACAAAAAAATCATTGCTGTACCAGTGTGATGTATCACAGAATTATCATGCTATATTGGTATTATAGTACGGCGGTCATTAATCATAAATTATACTATTTATGTTTTTAAAAAACTTCTTTAATTCGTATAGTGCAATATAATATAAGTATGGATGACGAATGCATCGTGCAAAATAACAAGCATGAATGACGAAATAAAAAGAAAATTATTTATAACATAAATGGTATAGTACTCATGATCAATAGTGGCCGTGCTATAAAATTTTTTATTTTACAAGAATTATTAGAAGTAAATCAGGCAAGTTAAATGTTCTCGAAATCTTTTATATAGGGAATTATTTATTTACAATCGAGTTTTTGAAAAATTAGAGAATTTTTATCGTTCATTGCAAATAGTGCGACAAATAATGCTTTTAATCCTACAAATCTGCATATTACCATTGTTAAAAATAATGATGTCATAAAGAATCTCGACAAATAATTCGAGCGAGTCCTATTAATTGTTTTAATAACGGTAATATGCAGAATTTGTATGATTCAAAATTATTGTTTGTCGCATTATTTTGCAATAAGGGAAGATTTATAGATATAATAATTTATTAAAAAAAAAACATGATATAACCATGAAGAATCTTCATAGTTATTACTTGCAGAACCTTCCTAAATAATTTTCAACAATCTGTTTTCTTTTACTTATAAAAAAAACTAACAATAATCCTAGTATGGTATTTACACGAGAACGTTATTTTCGCATACACGGCAAATTTTTCTTGATTATAGCTAATAGAAGCTTATAGTTTTGTGAACGTCAAAAATGGATTTTAATCAAAAAATCGTAAAGCTACCAAATATTTATGTGAAGCTGGTATAAATTTTAGTATTGTTTATTTTGTTCTAATTTATACTACAGTATTGTTCTATTTAATGAAATAACTTTTCATAAAAACATTAAGCCAATAAATCAACGACGCACCGACCAGTTTATACAGTAGCTCGAAGTTTAGTTAAATATACACGAGATCAAGGTATCATACTTTAATATCAAGCTACAGATTAAAATTAATTTGCAGATAAAATGAAAATAACAATTTATTTGAACATCAAATTAGGTCAATTGGAAAACATTAAAAAAGACTGACCTTCATATTTTTATGAATTAATGTTAAAAGTTTTTACTTACATGCAAAACGGGTTATCGACAATTTACTGTAATTGGCTTGTATTCTTGTTTGAAATCCTTTTATTAAAAATAATGCAAATTACTTCCGAAGAATATGATGAGTATAGGAATGATAAAAAACAATTTTAAACATTCTTTTCTCTGATTTAAAATCATCACCTAATTTTAATTACGTAATAAAAAACTTTTGCCATCCTATGATACCTATTTTATAAAGTCCGCGTTTATATAAAGCTGTTAATAGTAATAATGAATCAATAGGTTAAAGTAGTACTTGATAGTAATATTTTATTATTGTACAATAATCACAGTATTAATATGCATAAATAATTTGAATGTTAGAACTAATTTCTCATCTACAACATAACACGTATATAGTTATTTATTAAAAAATCAATATAAGTAATACATAATTAACATAACATGCTTAATTTATCTCATGATATGTTTAAAATAGTTACCGTCATCAAATATACATATACATATACTTTAATTGATTTATACCTATTTAATAAATAAAGTACTAATAAAGCAAAATAACAAATGAATCGAATACAATTCATAGATCTATTTTTTTTTTATTTGAAATATTTCATATTCCTCCACTGAAAATGATTTGGCTTTCTTGTTTCTAAGTGCAATTTCATAAGACTCTTTTATACATAAACATTGTTTACCCTTATTGAAAGTGCCAAACATGCCAAGATCCTTACTGAAAATTGGGCCACCGGTAACTCTAGATGAAATTGCATTTGCTGGTTTGTTTACACGACTGCATATCAAATTTTGAATACCATTCTTTAATGAAAAAATAAAGCTCTTGTCGCATTTCACAGTGCATTTTTTTTCAGTTGGCTTTTTCCAACCAATAGGATTATATCCGCCAAGAATTTCATCAGCACCTTCAACTTTCATGACTACAACAACCTTTTTTTGTCCATTACATAATTTCCAAAATGGCTCTGCTGTAAAACCATCTCTGGTTCCACGAAGAAGTAACTTAAACTTGTATGGATTATTTGTTACAGAATAAAGGTCTTTATTTTCATCAATCCATGAAGAAATTATAGCTGTCTGTACTTCATTAATAACGGCTGAAAAGGGTACTTTAGCTTTAGGTGGTGACGTTTGTTCTATAATTACTTGAGGTGTCACTCTTGGTGGTATTTTCTGTGGTAAAACTTGTTGAGGTGGAAGGATTGTCGATTCTTTAGCTTTAGGTGGTGACGTTTCTTCTTCTAAAATTACTTGAGGAGTCATTCTTGGTGGTATTTTTTGTGTTAAAATTTGACGAGGTGGAAGGATTGTCGATTTTATAGGTCGATTTGGTGACATAAACTTTATTGATATATCATCCCAAAGATCATTATCCAGAATTTGTTGATATGGTCGTACTTTGTCAAGAATTTCGTCGGCTGACATTTGAAAATAGCGGATAAGAGGTAAGCAATTTCGTAAAGTAGTCTTTAAAGCTAGAAAATTCTCATGAGACCAAGTTTTAGAATCGGATGGTAATTCAGGATTTTGAGCAATTCCCCATTCGATAATATGATTCCAAATTTTTACTTCCTTCATTTGTAAATCATCTCGTATAATAAGCGAGACTAAAGCATTTTCTTGAAGCGAGATAAAATCTTTTGAATCAAAAACCTTATTAGGATATTTTACTAGAGTATCATTGCACCATTCTTGTAATTTTTGAAGTTTATCATTCTGAAAACTTTTGTTGTATATACGATTAAAATGTAAACGAAGCCAATGAGCTTCCACTTCAATTAAGTAAGTTTCAAGGTATTTTGCCAATTCATCAAGAAGAAATTCGTAAGCAACAAGCATAAGCTCAAAAATAAATGATGCATTATATATTTCAAGTAAAATAATTCCTCCATAGATATATCTTTATAAAAAATTTAATTTTAGAATGTTTCTTGCTGAGTAACACGTATAGATTTTTATCGTAATAATAAAATCAACTTACTTGATAATAATTTCAAAATGTTGGACAGAAACATGCTTTAAGTTAATTGTTTTAAAATTATTATAATCTGTGTCAACTTTCGCTAATTCATTACGAAAATATAAAGATCTATATCTTAAAACAACGGAATGTGCTTTGTATATTTTTGAATTTACAGCTTCATCAACTTTAATAATCACATTAAAGTCTTCTTCATCGTTAAGAATTTCAAGATAATTGCTTGAAAGTGTTTCAAAGAATTTTTTTATCATCTTGCATAAATAAAAGCGCACGATATAATAAATTCTCTTAAAAAACAACAAGTGAGAATTTTAGACTCATTAATAAACTTCCGAACTTTATTACAAATATGTATAATTTTGTTATGCATACTCATGCGGGTGTCCAGGATTATGATACGTACGACATAATATGCACATAATTTAACCTGTACTGCATAGGTAGAACAATAACCTTTTTTATATTTTCGTATCTCTTTCACGGGTAATTTAAAAGTTGGGAAAATATTTACAAGATATTTAGGAAGGTTGCATATCATACCAAAGGTTTTTTTAATTGTTCTCCTGTGCGCATTATGCGTTGCATAAAGTTGTATAAATTAAGAAATTACGCATGATTAATCATATGGGCGAAAATCTCCAGTTGAAACACAGTGATTATTAAATTTATAGGTAATTAGGTTACAATTAGGTACATACGTACAAAAATTTATAAGTATCAGGTATAAATTTATGAGCAAATTCATAAGCGATTCATAAACAAATCATTATCGGACTTACGATCTCTGGTCAAAAAATCTCAAATTTTATTTAACCTAATCATTCACTTGATTGTCCCAATGCTATGAGTGGTCCCATATATGATTTTTAAATTTTTCACCGATTTAGAAATAATATACGAAATTTAAGAATGACTTTGGCCAATTTGGAATTGACATAATTTGTAAAATGACGCAGAATACATATATTTTAATTGAATTTATATCCTTTAATAAAAGAACTAATAAAGAAATAACAAATGAATCGAATATAATTTAAAATAATGATTTAAAAACTCGCAAATAAAATAGAGTAATTGAGGCATTAATATCATTCTTAGGACTATATTTTAATGATTTGAAATATTTCATATTCATCCACTGAAAATGTTGCTGCTTTCTTGCCTTTTTTAAGTGGAATTTCATAAGACTCTTTTCTACAAATACATGATTTACCCTTATTGAAAGTACCAAACATGCCAAGATCCTTACTGAAAACTGGGCCACCGTAAACTCTACAAGAAATTGCACTTGTTGGTTTGTTTACGCGACTGCATATAGAATTTTTAGTAGTACCATTCTTTAATGAAAAAATAAAGCTCTTGTCGCATTCCAAAGTGCATTTTTTTGCAGTTGGCCTTTTCCACCCAATAGGATTATAACCACCAAGAATTTCATCAGTACCTTCAACTTTCATTACTACAACAACATTTTTTTGCTCATTACATAAATTCCAAAATGACTTGGGTGTAAAACCATCTCTGGTTCCACGGAGAAGTAACTTAAACTCGTATGGATAATTTACTATAGAATAAGCATTTTTATCAATCCATGAAGAAATTTTAGCTGCCTGTGTTTCATTGATAACGGCTGAAAAAGATTGAGTATCTTTAGGCGGTGATGTTTGTTCTAAAATCACATGAGGAATTACTCTTGAAGGTATTTGTTGTGTTAAAATTTGACGAGGTGGTAGAAGTATCGATTTTATTGGTCGATTCGGTGCCATAAACTTTGCTGATATATCATCCCAAAGTTCATTATCCAGGATTTGTTGATATGGTCGTATGCTGTCGATAATGTCATCGGCTGACATTTGAAAATAACGGACAAGAGGTAGGCAATTTCGTAAAGTAGTCTTTAAAGCTAGAAAATTCTCATGAGACCAAGTTTTAGAATCGGATGGTAATCCAGGATTTTGAGCAATTCCCCATTCGATAACGTGATTCCAAATTTTTACTTCTTTCATTTGTAAATCATCTCGTATAATAAGTGAAATTAACGCATTTTCTTGAAGGGTGGTAAAGTCTTTAGATTCAAAAACTTTATCAGGATGTTTTGCAACAATATCATTGCACCATTCTTGTAATTTTTGAAGTTTATCATTCTGAAAACTTTTGCTGTAGATGCGATTAAAATGTAAACGAAGCCAACGAACTTCCACTTCAATTAAGTATGTTTCAAGGTATTTTGCCAATTCATCAAGAAGAAATTCGTAAGCAACAAGCATAAGCTCAAAAATAAATGATGCATCGTATTGCTCAAGTAAAATAACTCCTCCATAAATATATCTTTGTATAAAATTTAAATTTAGAATGTTTCTTGAAGAGTAATAAGTATAAATTATTCATTGTTATAATAAAACCAACTTACTTGATAATAATTTCAAATTGTTGGACAGAAACATTCTTTAAGTTAATTGTTTTAAAATTATTATAATTTGTGCCAACTTTCGCTAATTCATTGCGAAAATATAAAGATCTATATTTTAAAACAACTGAATGTGCTTTGTATATTTTCGAGCTAAAAAGTTCATCAACTTTAATAATCACATTGAAGTCTTCTTTATCATCAAGAATTTCAAGATAATTGTTTGAAAGTGTTTCAAAGAATTTTGCTATCATCTTACGTAAATGAAAGTAAATAAAGTCTCTTAAAAGATCTTCAGGCGTGCGTGGGAATTTTAAAATCATTACTGTAATAAAATCATTAATGGTTACACAATGTTATTAGGGTAGCTGCACGAACATCATAAATAGAACCTATTTGCATTGTTAGATTTATAAGTAAAATTATAACAATTATTTCATTTTTCAGCTATGTTTCTACTATTCTGTTACTAATTATAATTGTGCTTAACATTGTTGTACTTAACATTGTTATAATAAATTGTATCTTTTCATGCCCATCCTTTATTTATTTTTGACCATACTGTTGGCAAGAGACACAATGTGTGGGACAAAGTAAAAAAAGTTGAAAAAAATAAAAATACATTAGGCTACTTGCATATTAGTTACGGCTTTTAAATTCTGCAATTCACATATAATCTGACAACAAAGAAGGATAAAAATTTATTAATTAAGTATGCCAACCGTTACATAAAAAATAAATAATTAAATAAATAGCTGCTTGTTTTTGAATTTAAAAAAACAAAATAAGCGAATCTACGTCCGCATTATTTCACTAACTATCACTTTATATGAGACTTAATTCATATACATTAATCTACAGATAAGATTATTTAACAGACGGGTAATTCACGGATAAACTCATTTTGTAAACAATATATTTTTTTCACCAACACACTTTTTTTTATAAATTGCACCAACTTTAGATTTAAATTTAATCCTAACGCCAATGACTAGAATTAATTTTTCTCTAAAATCAGATGTTTGTTAACTACCTGTCTATGAAACAAACTTATCTGTGAATTAATAGACTGCAAAATAACTTTGCCTGTAATTTAATTTTTTGAAAACTAAATTGTCTGAAGCAATTGTTGGTGAATTGATACTACTAAATAAAATATTAAATAAAATCAAATTCATGTATTAAAAAACGTAGTTTGAATTTTAAGCAGTCTGTCACGAACCTAGCATAACCACCAAGATCAGTTACATGCGGAGTTTTGCATGATTCCTAATAACATCACCGATATTAATTAATATGACGATTATTTTGATATTGTATTATTAATCGGTTATTTTGATTTTTTTTTTTAATACCAAAAAAAAAAAAAACTCTTTAACGTATCTAAATATTTTGTAAAAATGGAACCACAATACTGTTCATCTTGCGATATAACAAAACCAGCTAATTTATTTGAAGTTAATAAAAAAACCTGTATTAAATGTCTAAATCGGATAAATGAAGACAAGAAAAGAAAGCGAAAAGAACAGAATGAAGAAAATAGCAATAAAATGAAAGAAAGTGCAGTGGATATTGAGGAGCTTGAGAGTATAATTTATGAGCAACTTATGAACGCTGAGGAGGAAAATAGTGAATCTATAGATTTCAAAATTAATGTAGATATTTCTTATTTGATTGACAAGTTGAAAGAAAGTGATATTAATTATAATGAAGAAAATGCAAACTTATTGGCACTTGAAATTGTAAAAATTTGTGAGAAAGGTGATGGATATTCTTACGTATATCATAAAAAGCATTGCAATCAACAAAATAAGATAATTTTATTTACTTACTGGTGTAATTGCCATTGTGAGCTTAAAAAAAAAAAATAAAGAAAATTGAGAATCAATCAAAACAACATAATACTGAATCACGATTAAGTTGTCATGATTGTAAAGGATTAATTCTTATCAAACTTGATTTACAAACTACTCTGGTGGCAGTGAAATTAAGCCATTCATATCTTCATCCACGTCCAACATTTCTAATGAAATCAAAGAATACATTCAAACAAATTTATCATGCACTGCTGCTGAATTATATAAACGAATAGCTCTAGAAAAAATAAATAGTTATGAATTAATAACTGTTGAGCAAGTTTATTATTGGTGGGCTTATTTCTCTGCAACTAGATACAAACGCAATGACAATCAAATTATATTTGCTAAATTGTTTTTAAATGAAAAAAACTATTCAATCAGTTTAGATCTTGATGATCCAACACCAGCATTTGCTTTTATAACAACTTTTATTAATATATTACCAAAAAATGCTTTTAAAACTTTGATAGTCGATGCGACATATAATACCAACCAACTTAAGCAAGAACTTTATGCACTTATAGCTATTATTGATGGAACAGGTTTTCCAATTAGCTATTTGTATGTCTCAAATAATAAGAACCATGATATGCAAATAATTATAACAAAATGGTTCAAAGCCATTTATAATTTAAATATTATTAATGTAAAAAATCTATTAAGTGATAAAGATTTTGCACAAATTTCAAGTACACAGGCTATTTGGAAGAACATAAACGTACAACTTTGTAAATGGCATGTGAAACATGCTGTTGAAAAAAAAGTTCATCTAAAAAAGGTGATAACTTTCATTATAATGCAAATGCTACATATAATGAGTGTCCTATAATAGATCCAACATGGAATAGTAATCTTATACAAAATGCAGATGTATCTACAAAATCATCTAAAGTTTTTCTTGAATCAAAATTCAGAAAAGATATATTAAATTATATTGAAACACATTTTCATCAGCATATATTAATACCAACTGCTGACAAAGAATTTGTAACATCATCTCGCGAAATTTGGCTTTGTGCAGTACATGAAATGTTTGATTATTGCCATCAAAATAATTTTTTACATGTGTGGGCTTACTGTTGGAATGAATGGTCTCGATAGAACAAATAGAAGCTTTGGCTTTATCTGCTACTCCGGAAATTTCTATAATTCAAACTACTATGATTATTGAAACTCATTGGCAAATCTTAAAAAGAGATTACTTATATAAATTTAACCAACCATGAGTAGATCTTGTATGTTATATTCTTATTGAAAAATTATTACCAATGCAGTTGCAACATTTTCAGTTACTCTTAAATGAACGAATTTTGCCTTCATGGCATGATAATTTTAAAAAAGAATAGAAAAGTTTAACTACACATGTAGTAAAAAATACCTAACAGATAATAAGCGTTGGATATGTTCTTGTTCTTATTTTTTAACTAATAGATTTTATTTATGTAAACATCTCGTTAATCCGCTTGGAAACATGAAAGCTTTATTTTTTCAAAAAATATATTTATATATGATATATTCATTTATTTATAAAAAATAAAATTTTAATAATTATTATAATTTTAGATTTAATGAAATTCAAATTATCCACTTATTA